TGGTGGAATCCCACAGGAAGGGGAAGTGCTGGTGGCCAGTCCCTCTTAGCCGGCAAATGCCAGCAGCCACCACTGCCTAATTTGTGAGTGCCATGTCGGCTGGCAAGTATAAGTCTGGGATCTGGAAGTTCTCTACTCACCAGATCCACCCACTGCGACTTCCTCTGGCCAGATTTAGAACATACACGGGCCCAGAACAGTTATGAGACATGGCTGTCGCCTCTCCTCCGGCTGTTCCCTCTCCAGACAGGCAGCATTGAAAAGGCTTCCAGAGAAGCCTTAGCATCTCAGTCCTCCCAGGAACTGATGCCTCTCTGTACCCCTCTGCTGACCTTTCTGTCCCAGCCCCCAGGCCAGGGTTCCCTAGAAGGTCTCATCTGGCCCCACGTCTCCTATACTCCTCCTTCCCAAGGTCCAGGATGAGTCCTCACAGATCCCTCAAAGCCCCTTGTGAGTCTGGAGGTGAGGAGCGGTGAGCTCCACACCGCCTCTGCTGCGACTACATTCATGTCACTGCTCCTATATGAATGTCCAATTCAGATTACCGCAAGAGGGTCCTCCATCCTCAAGGAGCACCCCTTCCAGAAGTGGCACAGACCATGGGCACTGCCACATCATGTAGAGTTCTCTGCAGCCTCCTGTGCAAATCAGTCTCATGTTAGCCTGGAAGTTTCTGAAGGGCAGAAACCACACCATCCACTTCTCAGAATCCCCCCACCTGGCAAAGTCCTGCTTATTATCAGACCGAATCTACACCACCTCCCTGCTCCAATCTTTAGGTGCCTCCTGTTAGGACCTCATGACGGGCTGGCTGCCTTTTCTGCCATTCCACACACAGTGAGCCCTGACTGCACAGTGTGTCCTGTGCCAAGAGCAGCTGTACTGTTATTCGGAGAAAGGTATTTAGAGTTCACCAGAAAAACCAGACACAGTCTGAGCCTTAAAGAATCTCACAGAAGTCACACCTCTGTGATAAGTGCCCCGATTAAAGGTGTGTAAAAACAGGTGCTGCTGATGGGAGTAGAAATGTGGGGCAACTTGGTAGAACCAATCACTATTTTATAAACACACCTATTCTACTATTCCACCGTCTCTTCTGCTTATATTCACATGGGACCATACAGATACCCAATGCAGCCACTTCTGAGGGGAAAAAATTGGAAACAAGCTAAAAGTCCATCAACAGGGGTCAGACTAAATGAGCTATAGTGCAAACATCCAGTGAACCATAGTTACCAAAAATAATAAAGAGCTCTCTGTGCTGATATGAAAGGAACACCAGGAAACAAGTATGTGAAAAAAGTCACCAAGTGATACATACAACATGACCTCATGTCTTACATAGAGAGCTGAACTCCTTTTACAGCAATAATAGTTGAGGAGGAGAGTAGGAGAGGGACAAAGGGGGACTTTCCCCTTTCACTTATACATATATGTATACACACTTCTAAGATCTTTGAATTTTTACTAATGTAACAGAACAAAAGTATAAAGTAAGTGACACTGAAGTCAAGACAAGGACAGTCTAACTGGGTGCTTCCCACAAGTTCCTCTCAAACTCCAAGAAGGACCACTAAGTGAGAGATCAAACACATCTCTTTTCTCTGTTAGTCTCAAAGATGAGAAGGTGGTATAGTGGGTACTGTAGGGTACACTGGCATGAAGTCCCAGGGACCAAGATTCAATCCCAGCTCTGCTATGACTGCTTGGATGACCCTGGGGAGGCCACTGACCTTCCTCAGAACAGTTTTTTCATTTGTACTGAATGGCAGAGAGGAGCAGTGCATGTGCTTGGAAGCCAACAGATCAACCCAGTCACCCACAGGCTGTGATCCTAGATTAATCACTGACACTCTCAAAGCCCCCATTGCCACTTATTATTTCAAAAGGGGCAGTGGGTAATATCGCTTACCCTCCCAGAAGGTCACAGGAATCAAATGATACCAGGTATCTAAAGTGCTTAATATAGTGCCTGGTACATAACATATGCTCAATAAACAGCAGCTGCTAATATACTGCTGAGGGAGGGTAATGACACTGGCTCTGCCTACATAATGTGGGTATTGAGAAGATCTAATGAGCTGTATGCTGGGAAAGAGCTTAGAAGTACAGAGTGGGACACAAAAGTGAGAGGCACTTACATAAGGATTCCTCTCCCACCCCAAGCCTCAGCTCCCAAGCAGCTAAGATGCCTAGTGGGTGAGAATTGTGGGATGCTGTCTCTGTTCATCCTATGGAAAAAATTCTAAACAGTTATTAATTTGGGTCCCCACCTCAACTAGATAGGAAACAGCAAATCAGACGGAGAAAGATAGGTCGCTAGAAGAAGATAATGACTGACTTCTGCGAATAACACCTAAGCGGAGGACTCCTCGGACTCCTCTCCGCCCATCACTGGGCCCCTTCAAACCCTCACAACTCTGATGTCCAGGCTCCTGGGGACACTGCAAATGGACCTACACTTCTCAAGGTCACAAAATCCAGCCCGGCTCCTCAGACTCTTCCAGACATCACCCCAGGGCACATACCTCTCCCAAGCTACTCCACAAACCATGGGATCCTTTCCCAGAAACTTTCACAAACAAGTCTCCCCTCAGGATTCTTCTAAGATGCTTCCTCCTGCCACCCTGTACACATCTCCCACCTCAGGGCCATCCCCCCACCTCTCCACACCTCCAAACTGGAGTTTCTGCTCCCAAGCTTTCCCACACAGGCTCCTAGGGCACGTCCTTGGGATCCCTTCCCTGCACTTGGTAGCCACATATGTCAGAGCTCCCCAAAGTTTCCTCTCCAGCGAGCAGGGTAAACACCATCGTCCTGGGACTCCTCCAGACCCTCCTGTAATCTCTGGGGTCCTCACACAGCCATCTTTCAGTTCCCTCCATCCAAACACTCCGAAACACACCCCGCGTCCCAAGCTCGGTGACTTCCTCTCCCTATTCACCAGTGATCCCGGGCCCGAATGCCCTCGCCCTCGGCGGGTCCCAGGTCCCCCGAGGACGCCCCATCTCCCACCCGCAGCCCATCAGCTCCATCTCCAACCCGCCCCTGGGGTGGGCGTCCCTTGGCACAAAGAGCTCTCGCTCACTGCCACACAAGCCCCTCCAACAACTCCTCTCAGCACTCTTAGCCGAGTTCTCCTGGGCCCCTCCCGGCCCCGAGGCCACTCTCAGTAACCCGCCGG